TAAATTTAACTGCTTTCCAGACTTACCTCAGCCCACATTCTTACAAATGCCAATAGGTCTAGCTAGAGACAATTGGATGGGCCAGTCCCTCCTTCCCCAAGCAGGGAACAGAAATTTAGTGGATTTAAGACTAGAAAAACTACAGGAAGAAAATTCTGGAGATTTCAGGGATAGCTTCCTTGACCTAGCCTGACCTGGTCAGTGGGAGGAGAAAGAGAGGTGATAAAATTCAGGGAAGCAAGGAGGAAGGTCTCTTTCTCTTTGGTGCTGAATCCTTCAGAGCAGACAGAATTCTTAACTGAGGTCTGGAGGAGGCAGCCATTTAATCATGTGCTGTTCTGGAGAGCTGGAGGAAGCTTCAAGGTAATAAAAACTCTGTTCAGATCTATAACATTTCAAGCTAAGGAGCCTGCTTTATATTTTTAACATTTGATAGGGCATGTATAGAAAGAGGGACAAAGGAATTGCATTTTACCCATTTCTTTTGGATTCCTTGCTCAATCGGATGCTGTGCTAAAGTATGCTAGTGAACATTTTATTTTTAATAAATACTTTGTAACTTTGAATGCTAGTAGTGGTTCTCTGTACCACACAGACCTCCACCATCTTGGACTCACTGCTTTAAAAGGGCCGCTGGGAGAAAGCAGTTAGTTGGCAAGTGGCTATAACTCCAGGGGTACAAAAAGCTGTAAGCAGTTCCCAAGGTGACCAGGCAATGGCCTGCAGGAGACACAGAAGCAAGGCCTCAGAACTATGAAAGTAAGCTGGGAGTCCTCACCCTCCCAGCAGGCAATTCCTAAAAAGGTCAGGTGGTGGCAGTGGCTACCCTAGAGAGTGGTTACCCTAGATGATTATCAAAAACATTTGATAATCATCTTACTCACAGCAGCCAAACTAGCAATAGCTTTGAAATGGAAAGAAGGGACAGTCCCCACAAAAAAACCTATAAAATTTGGGATTGCGTTGTTGTGGAATGCTTATCAGACAGATTATTATAATCAGAACTTGATTATTACTGTTCCACATTCCACATTCTTAGATTATATGGCACGAACGTGTCTTCTGCATTACAACCCATACCTTATGTGTGATACCCTATACTAGGTTTTAATGCTCACTTATTTTTTTACCTATTGAATACATGTAAAACAGTAAGTTGCATTCGACTTCTCCTGAAATAAAACTCCATTGTTTGCTTGTATGCTTAGGTGTGTTATGGCTACAGTCGGTTATTTTTATGAATGTTTATCAGACGTCAATGCTACTGTATTGTATTGAAATTGTTAAAATTAATACAAATTATATATTTTTAAAAAAACTTGGAAGGTTAAGCTGGGAGTCCTGACCCTCCCAGTGGGCAATTCCTAAAAAGGTCAGGTGGTGGTGGTGGGTTACCGGAGAGAGAGGAAAGCCTCTCCAGGTGTTGGGAAAACCTTGGAGGGCAGGGCGGAACAGGGAGAGTAATGGAGAAGGAGAAGGTGGTCAACACTGGAAGGTAACTTCCACATGCAAAGGCTGTGTATTTATTTATTTATTTTATTCGACTTCTATCCCACCCCGCCCCCGCATGGCAGGCTCAGGGTGGGTTACGTCAAATTTAATAAAATACAATATATACAATGAATACAATTGAAACGCTAATAAAACCCCACAGTGGCCTTCATCCAGTGCCGTTGTCATTGACATTAAAACCTCACAGATGCCAACTCTAATATGCAGTTCTGACCCATTGAGTGGAGGTTTAGTTTAGTGTAGTTTGTTGTAGTGGTTAAGTGCGCGGACTCTAATCCGGGAGAACCGGGTTTGATTCCCCACTCCTCCCCTTGCACCTGCTGATGTGACCTTGGGTCAGTCACAAGCTCCGGCACAGCTGTCCTTGAAAAAGAGCAGTTTGTGTCAGAGTTCTCTCAGCCCCACCCACCTCACAGGGTGTCTGTTGTGGGGAGGGGAAGGGAAAGGATTTTGTAAGCCGCTGTGGGACTCCAAGTGGAGGGCGGGGGATAAATCCAATCTCTCCTCCTCCTCCTCCTCCTCCTCCTCCTCCTCCAGTGAGGGAGTGAGGGATGTCCATCACCCTAATTAAAAGCCTGGCAGAAGAGCTCCGCCTTGCAGGCCTTGTGGAACTGCAAAAGGTCCCGCAGGGGCCTGATCCCGTATGGGAGCTCATTCCACCAGGTAGGGGCTAGGGCCCTAGTTGAGGCAAGACGGACGTCCCTGGGGCCAGGGACCATGAGAAGATGTTGATTGGCAGGTCGTAAAGCCCTTCGGATCTCATGTAGGAATGCTACCTGCTCGGGGTTCATAGTGGGGTCAGCTGGGCCCTTAGTACAATGTTTGTTGGTTTCTCAAAAAAAATATCAGATTAGCCACTGTAGAAAATGCAGCGCTGAACTAGATGGGAGCCAAGCAATGTTCCCTCTAAGCTGTGGAGTCTTGTGAGCAAAGATTCTACTTTGTGAGCTACTAGCATTAAAGCTGTGAGCGAGCGATTTGGCTGCTGCATAAATTAATTTCCTCTGGAGCCCTCCTCCCCCAGCTAAGACAAAAATGTGTGAGCCGGAGGCTAAAAAACTGTGAGCCAGCTCACACTAACTCAGCTTAGAGGGAACACTGGTGCCAAGGTAGTAGTTTGCCTAGGGCACCGAAAAACTTTGGGCCAGCTCTGGCTGGGTCACCATACCAAGTACATTTGAACTTCCGTGTCACCATACCAAAAAGGTCGAGAACTACTGATCTAGCTCAGTATTGTCTATTCTGAGTGGTAGCAACCCTCCAGGGTCTCGAGCAAGCCCCAGTTATGCTAATGAGTTATGCTAATGAGCTCCTGCACCTCTATTTGCGGGGCAGGGCTTTTAATTAAGGGGGCAGGGCCCCCAAATGCCCCGCGGTAGCTACAAGCCTGTAGCCAAACGACTGGCTGTGTCTACATAACATGGTGCAAGAACAACAAGATTTTCAAGGCAGAAGCTTCCCAGACTGAAAGCTCCCTTCATCAGATATCTTTAGACACGAATCCTGTAGCACCTTGGAGATCAATGCGATTTTTGGGCTATAAGGTTTCGAGAGTTAAAGCTCCCTTCATCGGGGAGCTTTCCGACTCGTGCCTGATGGAGGGTGCTTTGACTCTCAAAAGCTGGTACCCTGAAAACCTTGTTGGTCTCTGAGGTGCTACGGGACTCAAATCTTGCAGACCGATGTGGCTACCCTCCTGAAACAAATAATACCATGTGTGTGCAGGCCTGTAGCTGCAGTGGGGCATCTTGGGGCACTGACCCCTTAATTAAAAGCCCCGCCCCACAAAATAAATCTGCATGTTTCCCAAACGCTCATGGGAATGCTTTTGAAAGACTCACCGTGACCTAGGTGGTAAACAGCAGGGCGCGATTTCTCACTAGAGCTGCCTCGCCGCCGTTTGCCCAGACACAGACATGTCAATTTCACACCCGAAGCTCCGGGGCTGCATTTTGACTCGCGTCTTCCTTCGCAGTTTCGTGATCCTGGTTTTTGAGGATCATGAAACTGCGGAGGAAATAGAGCGAAGCCGCGGATCAAATGCAGCCCCGCAGCCTCGGGTGTGAAATTGACATGTTTGTGTTGGGGCAAACGGCGCTGCGCTGCGAGGCAGCTCTAGTGAGAAATCGCCCCAGGACTGGGCTAGCAGAAAGGGGGATTGTTGGAGATGTATTGAAGGGGCCAGTCTTGAGTGCCCTTCTAGGGTTTTTTTTACCTGTGGAAGGGAACCCAAAAGGCATTTAGATATCTGAGCTGGGGGGTTCCCCCCCCCCGAGGAACTGACACACTTGCTGCCCTGTCCCTTGAAAGGCAGGGCTAGAAACGGGCTTGGAGCTTCCCCCTTGTCAAGAATGGCCTATAGTATAGTGGCCTCTGATTTATAGTAAATTCGAACTACCCCCCCCCCCAGTAGCAAAAGCCAATGGTTACGTTTGGCACGCACGGCAAAGCTAGCAGCAAAACAAGCAGCAAAGCAGGCGAGTAGTCAAGGTTCCCAGCCGTCTCATCACAGCTGGAGACGGCAAGGTCAAAGCCGCGATAGCGTTCAGTTGCTGGGCAGAGAGGCGCAGGGAAAGCGGAGGTGAACAGGCATTCAGATTAAGATTAAAGACAGATTCAGATTAAAGACAGGCATTCAGATTAATTTAATTAGCTGTAATTTAACTGCCCCCTTGGAGCTGCGGTGGCTCAAGTGGTTAAGACGCTGAACTGCAGGCTGTGGAAGGTCGGTAGTTCATCAGTTCGAGACCCGGGTGCCGCAAGACGGAGTGAGCTCCCATCTCTAGTTCCTGCTCCTACCAGCCTAGCAGTTCGAAAGCAAGAAATTGCAAGTAGATAAATAGGTACCACTTCGGTGGGAAGGTTCCGTGCACCTTGGTGTTAGTCATGTCGGCCACATGACCACGGAAACGTCTTCGGACTGCGCTGGCTCTTCAGCTTTGAAACGGAGATGAGCACCGCAACCCTAGAGTCGGATTCAACTGGCTTCCGAGCAAGGGAACCTTTACCTTTTAACTGTCCCCTAAAAAATATAAATGCTCCCCAAACAAAAAGAATCCTCGCCACGGGCCTGTGTGTGTGTCCCTTTCCTGTTACTTGTGTCCTTTTGATCTAATCATCCTCGTTGTCTTCCCAGGAACTTCTTCCTGGTCCTCAAGGAGTATAGCCCATCACTGAATTTTTAATGCTGCCAATTAGACAACGAAACAACTGCGTATAAGTTAGCGATAAGACAAAAAGGCTAGCTTTTGCTTCCCTAGAGATGTTACTTTATTGGTTCCTTCACAGCGTGTTACTTCTGAGGAGATTTTTTAAAATATAAATAGGGGGGGGGGAAACACCATAGGAAGCTAATTAATTTACCACATCTTCTCCGTAATTTCCCAGAAGCCTCGTAAAACCGTCTTGTTCTCTTTACCAAGCTGTCGCAAGAGATGAAAGTTAATTTTTTTTGGTGTGTGTCTTTTGTGTTCTGTTTTCTATTTCAGTATTCCCAAATGAGGGACGAAGTGTTCAAGTCGAATCTGGTGTGCGCATTCATCGTCCTTGTCTTTATCACGGCCATCCAAAGTTTACTTCCGTCTTCAAGGTAAAGGCAAAAGATGTCCATAGAGCTGTTCTCTGCATCCTTCTCGGATTATGTTGGGTCTGGATGCAGATTGAGAGTCAGGGCAAAGCAAATAGTCTCAGGTAGACGATCCAACATAAGAACATAAGAACATAAGAGATGCCAATGTTGGATCAGGCCAAAGGCCCATCCAGTCCAACACTCTGTATCCCACAGTGGCCAGAAATACCAGTGCCATCAGGAGGTCCACCAGTGGGGCCAGGACATTAGAAGCCCTCCCACTGTTGACCCCCCCCCCAAGCACCAAGATGACAGAGCATCACTTGCCCCAGAGTCCCTATCTATACCTTGTGGCTAATAGCCACTGATGGACCTCTGCTCCATATGCTTATCTAATTCCCTTTTGAAGCCGTCCATGCTTGTAGCTGCCACCACTTCCTGTGGCAGTGAATTCCAAGTGTTAATCACTCTTTGGGTGAAGAAGTACTTCCTTTTATCCGTTCTAACCCGACCGCTCAGCAATTTGTTGGAAGTGTCACTGAAAATGCTGAAATCTGGCTGTGGCAGTTGGATGAGAGGATGAGGTTGACCCAAAAGTCCTTTTGAGAAGAATGTGGGTGGTCTTTACTAGAAAAGGAAGACACACCTGAATTTAAGGAACATCCCCCCCCAAAAAAAATGTCATCCACAGAAAAAAAGGGTTTAATTTAGTATCGGATATAAGTGTAACTTGTATGTGATTTTAAGATGACCCCCTGTTTTGTTTATGGATGGCATACCTTCGAAAAACAAATCAAAAAAGCCTAGTCTTGCATTTGAGTCTATACTGTATCGGGAGAGCCAAGGGTATTTGGTTGTGGTCTAAAAGAGGAAGTCAGTTAACAGCATTGGTGTGTTCTGTTGAGTTTCATGTTGCATTATCAATCATTTATTGCTGATTTGGAGTCCGCCTCGGATTTATTTATGTATGTAATTGGGGGGGGGGGGAAGAACCATAAATTCATCACTGACATAAGGCGACCCTGGAAGGTTTTCAAGCTAAGAGATGTTCAGAGGTGGTTTGCCATTTCCTGCCCCTGTGTAACCCTGGACTTCCCTTGATGGCTGGCCATGCTTAGCTTCTGAGATCTGATGAGATCGGGCTAGCCTAGTCCATCCAGGCGAAGGCTTACATCGTTTATACCCACACAAAGCAGCTCACTTCATTCTCCTCTCCTCCATTTCCTCCTCACAACACCCCTGCAGGGTAGGTTAGACTCAGTGTGTGCCTGGCCCAAGATCCCCCAGGGAGCTTTCATGGCAGAGAGGGGTTTCGAACCTGGGTCTCCCAGATCCTAGTCCAACACTGTAACCACTACAGGAACACACATGAAGCTGCCTTATAGTGAATCAGACCCTGGGTCCATCAAATTCACTATCGTCTACTCAGACTGGCAGCTACCCCCCAGGGTCTCAGGCTGAGGTCCTTCACATCACCTCCTGCCCGGTCCTTTTAACTGGAGATGCCGGGGATTGAACCTGGAACCTTCTGCATGCCAAGCAGATGCTCTACCACTGAGCCGTGGCCCACCCGGCTTCAGTTCCTTGACTTAGAAAAGTGAACAATAATGCATCCTTTGCCAGCCTCATCTGCATGGAGCACATCCTGTGCGGAGATAAGCCCTGCCTGTCTGTCCGAAGGCAAGGTCTTTGTCCTGCTCAGATTAACTCACATAACCTTGCTAGGATTGGAGTCACCTGAACACATGAGGCTGCCTTCTACTGAATCAGACCCTGGGTCCATCAAAGTCAGTATTGTCTACTCAGACTGGCAGCAGCAATCCAGGGTCCCAGGCAGTGTTCCCTCTGAGCTGAGTTAGTGTGAGCTAGCTCACAGTTTTTTAGCCTCCAGCTCACACGTTTTTGTCTCCGCTCAGGAAGGAGGGCTCCAGAGCAAACTGATTTATGCAGCAGCCAAATCGCTCGCTCACAACTTTAATGCCAGTAGCTCACAAAGTAGGATTTCTGCTCACAAGACTCCACCGCTTAGAGGCAGCATTGCTCTCAGGTGGAGCTCTTTCACATCACATACTGCCTGACCCTTGAGTTGGAGATACCAGGGATTGAACCTGGGACCTTCTGCATGCCAAGCAGATACTCTACCCCTGAGCCACGGCTCCTCCCCAGATGTGTGTCCAAAGGAGTCTAATGGCTCTTCATACTGTCCCTGCTTAGCCACCTTGCTTTTAATGCACAAGTATATCCAGGGCTTTTTTGGTAGAAAAAGGCCAACAGGAACTCATTAGCATAATAGGCCACACCCAACAGCAGAAACTCATTAGCATATTAGGACACACCCCTGACAGAGCGGCTAATTAGCATATTAGGCCATACCCCTGTGTTACCAGAAGTGTGGCCATCCAGCCACACCCACCTTTTGCTTCTTATTCTGTTTACCTTGTTTGTTGTCAAAACCCAGGGCTTTTTTTTGTAGCAGGAACTCCTTTGCATGTTAGGCCACACACCCCTAATTTAGCCAATCCTAATGAGTTTCTGCTGTTGGGTGTGGCCTATTATGCTAATGAGTTCCTGCTGGGCGTGGCCAACTCAGGAG